TGCGGACTTAGCTCCACTGGAGCGGGTCTCCTCGGCAAGTTCGGGCACTTGACTAGAGGCAACAAACCCGCACTTACCCATTGGCCACCTTGGTTAGGAAAGCAAAATACTTAGGCCAGAAATGCACAGAGAAGCCGACATACTTTAGAAACAGGTCTTATTCACAGGGTTTCCTTGATTCCATGACCAAGACCTGAGGTGAGATTTGTGGTGGCAGTTTTGTTAGACAGAACATCTTCTGCAAGTTTATTGCCCCATTCCTTTGGAAAGGCAGTTCACATGCAAGTGAGATGACACCAAATACTCTCCCCATTCCTTTGTCCCAGAAAAGAGGCAGAGAGAGCAAGGGGAGCATGATCTCAGCTCCTGCATAGCAAATGTATGTTGCCCTGTGCAATGGGTTTGACAATGCAATGCCTGATCTCCTCAGGAGAGAAAGCCAACCCCCTCTGTTAGCAACACCACCCTCTGGACTCTTGGCTTTTCTTACTGCCTGTGCCAGATCCAAGAACAGCCCAGATTCTGCGCCGATCTCATCTGCCTTTGATCAGTGCTTGGTTTCTATTGGCAAATGCACCCTTTGGGATCCTTACGTTCTTCTTAGCTCAACATCTAAATCATAGTGAGTTTTACAACAGATTTAAATACAGGTTTGGTTATGAAATTGGTAATGATGCTACTGATCTGACCTATAATTTTATCAAAGATTAACTTAAATCTACTGACTCTAGTGATAATGAAGCTTGTAAATGGAAATTCCCTGGTCTCCCATCTGGGCTCTTTCTGCTGACCTGAGTTGCAACTTTTGTATAGACAGAATATGCTCACTGGCTTTTTTATTTTAAATGAAAGCCTAGAAAAAAAGTTCCTGTCTTCAGTTGATAAACACAGGTACAGTACTTTTTGTCACTTACCTTGCTTACCCAGAACTGCAATAAACTAACAAAAAGTGGCAAAGAAAATTGCTGTTAAAATTAAGGATATTTTGCAGATACACGAGGATAATTTTTAGATACATTTGTTTCCCCTCCCAGTGTCAGAAGGAAGCTTCACTTTGAAGTGTTTTAAGTGAACTAGCTGCATGTCTTGTCCCCATGCAATGCCATGTGCCAGGCATCTTCATTACTGGGAGCTTTGTTTGGGTCTAACATGATTCTTTGAAGAGGTTGTCACAGGGGTGTGTTGTCACTTAAATCACTCGTTGCAGAATCCTGATTTAGGACCCTGCTGACTATGCCAATTTGTCACAGTTTGGTTATTTTTTTTTATTATTTAAAGAGCACTTTACATCACTTAAGTGTCTTATTACAGAACCCTAATTGAGACTGCCATGAAATGAGTGGAATTCACCTCATTCAGATGGAAGCAGCAATACAATTTATTAACAGTGTTTAGTAATTTGTTGAGTTTTACTAAGGAATCGAGGCTCAATTTGGTGGCAAGGTCACTACATTACTTGCTACAATGCAAATTAGTTAGAGAAAGCAATAGGATTACAATGTTGTACATATATATGTGATATTTGTATGCAAGTCAATGTTTGTGGACAGTATACCAGTTTGGAGTTGTTAGAGAAAGCAATAGGATTACAATGTTGTACATATATATGTGATATGATTACAATGTGTATGCAGGTCAATGTTTGTGCACAGTACACCAATTTGGAGTTGCATTAGGGTGATTGTCATGGGGATTGGAGATGGAAAGGGGGATAAGGTTGACTCTCCCACTGAGTTACCAGGGTTTCAGAACAGACCCTGTTCCTCTCTAAACTCCTTCTCAGAGAGGAGCCTAGGTGTAGCTAAATCCAATCTTAGACCCAGACAACAGTTTATGACTAGTGGTATCAGGGAGGTTGGAGATACTAGAGATGAGGACAAGCTCTCCTGTTCAGTCATGTGTTTCAGAATAGACCTCCTTGCCCTTCAAATGCCTTTGGAGAATAAGGTTAGATCTACCCCTAGGCCCAGACCTGGTCAAGGGTTTATACCTAAGGATTTTGGGGATTTGGGGACTTTAGTGTAGTGCTGGATGCAACATTATGCCTTTTGAACACAAATTATAGCAGCAATTTGAATATATCAGCATTGATATGGTGACTTAAAAATCAACAGTACTTCATAACTTAAAATCAACAATCAGTTAGAGCAAATACAATGATTCATCTAAGACATGACAAAAATTACTAAACAGAAACAAATGATACATATATATACACACACAGAGTGCTATATACAGTTATGGAGGCTAACCTATAGTTAAGATGTTTTTCTGCAGATTAAAGTAAATGTGGGTACCCCAGTGATCTCCAGGACCTTTCACAAAGATCCTAGGGATCACAAATACTCACATCTTCCTCCATCAGCTTATTACAAGCAGACAGTCATCTTTGCAGACAGCTGGTGGCTCCCTTTCAACCTTACCAGCAGTCACTACTGGCCTGAGGGGTGTCTCAGCTCAAGGAGAGATGCCAAGATTCAGCCCACTGAGATCCCAGAGAGCTCCCATGGGCCTTACTTTAGGATCAGTATTTATAGGGTCACAAGATGATTGACTTTGGTCAGTACTAGCCAGTACTTTTCCACAGTGGCCACTAAGCTTGTTAGGCTAGCTTGGCTCTTTCCTAATGGGGCTGAGGTCTTTCATTGGCCCCTGTCCAGAGTATTCAGGGAGCTATGGATATAGATGGGAGGTGCCCAGCTATTCCATTTCACTGACTCCATCTCCACGGAGTGTGGAGTAATTTTCTTGTTTCCAGGTGGATGCACAAGGTCAACATGCTCTGGCCACCAGGATTTACCAAACTTTCCACCCTTTTATATTGTGAACTAAGGAAGAATGGTATTGGCTGAGCAATGCAGCCTAATGCTAACCTTTTTACAAATCATCCCCAGGCAGGGACAGGTCTGTGCCACCACAGGGGTGCAGAACCATTTCTGTAACTGCAGGCCTAACATCAAACCATTCTGGCTTCTATATATACATATAGACAGTTTAAATCTAACAATATGTTTTAAAGGAATGAATTATTATTACGAAGAAAATTTTTAAAGTATCAATCAAAGAGAAATAAGCTTTAAATCATTTAAACCAGGTTAATTTAGCCACATAATGAAGGCATGCTTCCCAGGACAGGCACTGGAGTGGGTACCTGCACTTACTGGTACCTGCCACCATTTGCTTCCCATGGTGCATGCAAATTGTTGCCTTTGTAAAATGTTTCCTGATTATAATGCCTCCTAATAATTACAAGATCTCAACTAGCAATTTCAGCTGCAAATAGAGAAACATATGTTGGGTTTGTTTTTCTAACTCCCCAGCTATAATTATTTTTTGTCTCTGATTTCTTATCATGTTCTCTGCTATTGTCAAATAGTAACTGTATAGAGAACAGCAAGACTAGAATAGCCCATCGATCTCAGTCAGGGCTTTCTGACCTGAAGTGCTTGTTTCTGGACAAAAATTCTTGTAAAGATCTACAATCTATTAACAAATAATCCAACATAGCTCTAGGTGCAATGCTATGACTCCTGTCTGAAGTTTGTACTAGGATCTCAGGACTACATCTGAAAACCCAGGTGACAGTATGTGGTGGTTTGCCAAGTAACTGATTGCTCTTTGTTTTGTCCCTGATAGTGCATTTTCCTTTGCACCTGCAAAACCTGTCTTATTTATCCTTTGGTATTTTGAATACCAGCTTTAAACTAAGAAATACATCACTGGACTCAAGTAAAAGACATACACACTGGCATAAGAGGGAAATCAAGATAATTGCTTTTATTAATGATGTAAGTTGATGGACGTACTTCACAACATGTAAACCATTTATTTTAGATGAGTGTAAACTTCTTGTCTATGGCTGCTGTCCTGGTTTTGCCTGTGACAGAGTTAATTTTCTGCCTAGTAGCTGGTACAGTGCTGTGTTTTGGATTTAGTATGAGAAGAATGCTGATAACACATGGATGTTTTTAATTGTTACTAAGTAGTGTTTGTATTAAGGACTTTTAAGCTTCTCATGCCCTGCCAGCAAGATGAAGGGGCACAAGAAACTGGGAGGGAACACAGCCAAGACAGCTGACCCAAACTGGCCAGAGATATTCCATATCATATGACATTGTGCCCAATGTATGAACAGGGAGAACTGGGGAGTTGGCAGGGGGTGGGGGACAGACTGCTGCTAAGGGACTGGCTGAGCTTCAGTCAGTGGGTGGTAATTGCACTGTGCATCACTTGTCTTCCTTGGATATTATTTCACTCTCTTTTTATCTACCTTTTCATTACAATTATTAATATTATTATTAATTTTTTAAAATTTCAGTTATTAAACTGTTCTTCTCTCAACCCACGAGTTTTACTTGTTTTTGATTCTCCTCGTCCTCACTGGAGGCAGGTATTGAGAACTGAGCAAGCAGCTGTGTAGTGCTTAGCTGCTGGCTGGGGTTACACCATGACACTGCTCCTCAGGATTTCCAAAAGCTTTTCTTTTCTATTTATATCTCTATGCCAACATTAAAGGCTTTTTAAAAACGGATGTTGTTCAAAGGGTCTCAGGAAGTAAATTTACTTTAGAGAAGATGTGCAATCAAACCTCTGCAGGGTTCCATGTATTTGCAATACATGTTTTTCTTGCTTTGACATTGTTGACTTGCTCACATGATTCACCACTGACCCTTTAATTCTCTTCATGTCTTGAGTCATTTCTGAGTCATAGCAATAAAAGACTTCTTTGGCATTGCTTTCAATCTAATGAAAATTTCATACAAGAAGATCACTTGGAAAAAAACCAGAGACAATATGTGAATGTTTCACTTGAAAGTTATAATAAAATGGTTAGATTCTTTTGCTCTTGACACACTGCTGGTGCATTGGAGTTTCTGTTGCATACAGCCTCCCTCAAAAGTTTTCTCAGCTCTTACAAGTGCACACTGCCTTTTACCTCTGCCAGTCTGCACTGTTTAAATACATAAAGGAGGTATATATTATTCTTTGGTTTATTACAGACCTGATTCTTGTGGTTTTAAACATGTTTTTGTTGGAGAAACGAGGCGTGATAAAGAGATCTTAGGTTTGCACAACTGGGTGCAATTTTACCTTCAGGAAAAGCACAACCAAATTGACTACAAGGGATATGTCACTCAGAAGAATAAAACCAGGGTAAGAACAAGCATGGTGCTTCTGCAAATAAGACACAGATCCAGATAGAAAAGCTGTGGTAATGAACCAAAGCACAGTGATGCAATGACAGGCTCAACTGTTTTGAACGTAATTTGCCCAGTTGTCTGTAAGCAGAAAAAATACTGGCATGCCATCAAGTGAAGCTTTTTTTTTTTTTAATAAAATACTATTGAAAAAAGTAGTGCTGGGGTTTATAGAATCACAATGCTGCTAAAACTTGAGACAAATGGCTGGCCGTGTATGCTCTAAAGAACAGGGAAAAGGCTGTGCTACAGCTCTAGCACCCTGGCACAGCAAGGATGACTGAATCCTGCAATGCTCTCAAAAATCTGGAGTCAGAAATTGTATCTGTCTGATCATGGCTGTGCTGGAAATTATTCTGCTGTTTTGTTTATGCTTTCAGCCTGACAAACATCACCATGTTTTAAGTAACCAGTTCAGCTGGAAGGGCTCAGTCAAGCCAATTGGAAGCACCTTCATTGGTGTCAGCCCAGAGTTTGAACTGGCTCTTTACACTGTCATTTTCCTGCTGGCTGAAGAGAGAGTCACACATGACACGGTGAAGATAGAGGAGTATGAGCTACAGATGGTTGTCTGCCACCATGAGCACCACATCAGAACAGCATATCCAGTACTCCTCAGCACCAGTAGTGAAAATTAGTAGTTAGAGTGATCACACAAATTATTTCTTTCTTAGAGGTGGGGGTGATGGGACACACACACCCCAGATGGCAGAGTAAATTGATGTCTTGTTTTATACAAGTAATTTTGAGTAAAAATTGATGGCTTTTGATCTGCAACAGAGTATTTAATCAACAGCGTGCCGTGGATTGATGTCTGACATCCCTTGAACATACTGCTGCTTGTATTAAAGGCTGCATCAAACTTGTATCAACCTTTTTTCACGTGTGGCAACACTGTAGTTTTCAGCAGATAATGGAATTTAGGAAAAGGCCATATTAAAATTGATACACATATTTCTCTTATTTGTTAACCACAGCATATCTGAAAGAGCAATAACCACACATTCCTTATGTTCCAGACAGGAACTTTGATTTGGCACAAGCAGAACCACGGTATGTTTTTTTCCTCCTCTCCTCATTCCATAAGAGATTAATTCCAAATGCATTTTTACAAATACAATGCTCTGATTACAGTTCCCAGGACACACATTCAGATGTCAGAATGGTCATCAGAACAACAGCAGGTCTATCACTGCATCAGCTTTGCTCAGGTTTGCTAGAAGCCACAGTTGGCTTGATCTAACCTTAAAAATCTGCACCATAGGCACCTGTATTCCCATTACAGGCAGTGATGCCTGCA